TTATTGACTCTTCTGTGTTTCACGAGTCATTTCTTGCTGGCGGCATTGGTAAGCTATTAGCTATACCCTTTAGATATACATTTAAGCTTGCATTCATTTGTGGTTTCATCATAAGAATCATATTAATCTATATTAGTAAAATCATGCTATTCCCGTAAGTGTGGGGTTTGCAAACCAATCTTTTGTTTTGAAGCAAGACAAATTTAATGAATTTCATTAGAATACAATGAACAATACAGTGTGGATCACGACAAAACTCTGGAACTAGTCATGAATGGAGTCACTCTTGCAAGAGAATTAGCAATCTAGTTCCCTTGTTTTCTACCAAATCTCATACTGAGGTTTGGACTAGATAAAAGAAGAGATTTACATTCCCTAAGCAGTACAAATCAAACCATTAAACTAGATATTGAAAAAAAATAAAAAACAAAATTTTCATTTAACAGATTGGACTGACTCTCAAGTCTATGCTTATGAAAATGATCCAATCGGAAACCAGATTAAATTTATAAAACTACTGTACTAGTTATCTTTATACTTCATAAGATGTCAATAGTTATTGTCATTAAAACAAAATGTCACACAAGAAACTAGGATAATTTGCAATTCAGGAACATCCTTACTGCATGATATATCACTGAATACTTTTATTTGCCGCTTCATTAATTTAGAAAATAAGTATGTGGTGATTTTTTTTATTTGCTGTTTTAGCAAAACTGCTTCTTGGCAATGCTCTCAAGGAAGGAACTCCAATTTCTGTGAACCCTCTTGTGATTTGGGCTTGGGCAGGACTCCTTATAAATGCCATCAACAGTATTCCTGCTGGAGAGCTTGATGGAGGGAGAATTTCTTTTGCCTTATGGGGAAGAAAGGTATCACATTACATTTCAAAAACGAGCATTTTAAATGTGAAAATAACTTGGTTTGGCAGTATATTAAATAAATGCACACTTTTAGTTCCATTTTACGCCAAGATTCTAACAAGACAAGTCTATTTCACAGGCTTCAATTCGCTTGACAGGATTTTCAATTGTGTTGCTTGGACTGTCATCACTACTTAATGATGTAGCGTTCTACTGGGTAGTTGTTATATTCTTCTTGCAAAGAGGTCCAATTGCTCCTCTATCTGATGAAATAAGTGAACCTGATGACAAGTATGTTGCTCTTGGAGTAACAGTTTTGCTCATAGGCTTGTTAGTTTGCTTGCCATATCCTTTCCCGTTTATAGACGAAACCCTCGCGCCTTTCTAGAAACACTGGCAGCATCATCACTGTAGAGGATAGGGCTGTAGTGCATGCATTTTATTTAAAGCCAAAATTCAAGGCTGCAAACGTCCCACTTTTGTAATTTATAATTCATTACGAACTCAATTTTATTTTTATACCAATTTCCTGTTCAGTGTGGGGCTGTAACCAGAAAACTATTTTTTTTTTCAATTTAAAAAAGAAGCAAAATATATGATAATATACTGAGTTTAACTTGACACTCTACTTAAACCTAACACCCCTATATAATGGAGAAGCAAAATATATTTCATGAAGTGAATTCAATCATATAATTCATAAACTCCATATAAATACACTATAAACCAAACATATTCTTAATTATTCAAATTCACATTCTTGAATAATTTATAAATCATGCATATATATATATATATATATATATATATATATATATATATATATATATATATATATATATATATATATATATATATATATATATATATATATATATATATATATATATATATATATATATATATATATTCCTTAGGTTAAACTTAACATAAATAAATATTATTTTCAACATATTTTACATGAATTTAAAACATCGTATAAATGACATTTATTTAATATAATTATGTATCTTTCACCGTATTGATGAATAAGAAAGTAAAAATGTTCAATACTCCGTTATAGTCACAAATTAACAACAAATAAAAAGATCCATAAATCAAAATTCTATAATTTTAAAAATTATATGAATTAACTGTGTACTTTTCATCGACATTGAAAATTGTTACCATTTTTTTTAAATTGCATACTTAAATATTAATTATAAATAAAATATGGATCAAAATCGAAAATAAAAAATCAAATCTAAAGATTGTTAGATTTTGTGTTGGGGGTCTGTTGCAAAATATGAACAAGAAGAAAGGTTTAACCGACAAATTTCCTTCAGGATATTTTGGAAACTTTAACGTGAATCGCACATTCACATTAAGCATATCGATCAACAATATTTTACAGAATAACTTAGATATGATTTTTCTTATTTATTCTTGTGCACTAGAAAAATAAAAAAAATAACTTAGATATGATTTTTGGCATTTAAAACAATAACTTTTTAATGAAAAATTGTGTTAATCTGCTGATTATACCTTTTGACCACGCACCCAATCATTATAAGATTTTAGTTTTATTCTAGACAGTATTTTGGAAATTTCTCCAACATTATTTCTGAAAAATTATTTCTAAAAAGGTCTAACGTGTCGAGGGACCGTATAGAGAGTCCAAAAACAAAGGTATATTTCCATGGAAATTTTTTTGCCTCTTATGATATTTCTCTCTTATGATTTTGGAGTATTATTTCAGTTATGCTCTCAAATCTTTCAGACTCCCCCAATACCCAGCTGGATGCATAAATTTATTTAAGAACTCCTCAAAAAATTAGATGATATGATATGAGCCAAAATTTGGTTTGTGTGAAGCTCACACTAATTTGGGCGATGTTAAATGCGATAGAACTACCTTGGCAATTTAAAATTTAGGGATTGAGACTGACTCTAAATTCCCTATAAATTTGATCAGGAATTGTATTACTATTAGTATGGATAAAAATTACGGCGAAAAATATTTTCAAGAATCAAAACTTCTACGAAATTTTACAAGAGAGAAACAAAATTTTAAATATTTATAAAAATTAAAGTTTTATCTAATTAAATTGTACATAAATACAAGCACATATTTAGTCAAAAAAACTACATGGAGAAACTCTCATAGGAATTTAAGCAGTAAAAAATAACAGAGTAAGAAGAAACACTCATGAGAATTACAAGCCTTATTAATCATCTCGTTGAACAGTAGAAATATTGCTTAGATAGACAACTTGCGTTTAATTTCAAGCAACTTCACTATAATATCCTTTGAAAGCATTCGTTGAGTGGGAAATTCTTCAGAACATGCAACTCCTATTTTAGCAAACATTACCAGACACTCCTTTATGTTGTTCTCCAAAATCCAAGTTTGATCTTCACCAAATGACATAACCAAACGTGAATCTACTATGTCCAGAATTGTTTCCGGAATTTTCATCTTACACCATTTATGTAGACTTAAGTTCTCATAAAACATATTATCAGTTGGTCTCTTTCCAGTGAGCATTTCCAACAACAGAATTCCATAACTGTAGATATCTCCCTCCGATGATACCGGACCACCTGCTCCATACTCTTTTCGAAAAATGAAAACAACTTTAGGAAAATATAAACAAAAGAGTATGTATAATATTTTGTTACATATGATTCTAAAAAGGCCTTTTTTTGTAGAATAAATTTGAATGAAACAATTTTCATAAATTATGCTTAAAAATGTGGAAGGTCACATTGAAATAGATATGGCATTGAATTAGTACATTTCATAAATAACAAGAAACTATCATTACTTGATAACCTATATTAAAGAGAAAAGCAAGTATTGATATATAGTAGTGATATTCACAAATATATGTAACACATTATGAATGATATATAGTAACAAGAAGGGACAGAAAAGAACTTTACCAGGAGGAACATATCCTATTGTTCCTTTAATTGTTGAGGAACTAACTTGATCTTTGCTTGAATGTCTTGTTGATCCATGAATGAGCCTGGCTAAGCCAAAGTCTCCCAAGTGAGCTACCATATCTTTATCAAGAAGAACATTGCTTGGCTTGATATCACAGTGAACTACAACTTGCTCTTCGTCATGGTGAAGATAATCCAATGCATGAGCTATATCAAGAGCGATATCGACCCTTTGTGTGAGGCTGAGACTATGATTTTCATTTTCATACCCTTCATTACTATGCAACAACTTTTCTAGACTCCCATTAGCCATGAACTCCAAAACAATTGCCTTAAAATCTACACCATTATAATCAATACTTGAACAACAAGTTATGATCTTGACAAGATTTCGGTGCTTCATCTTTCCCAGAGCTTTGCATTCTGCCATGAAACTCTTTGTTGCACCACGTATGTCAAGATTCAATACCTTTACAGCAACAAGCCTTTCAAAGTTGAGAAGAGATCCTTTGTAAACAGAGCCAAAACTTCCAACTCCTAACAAATTTGAAGATGAAAATCCATTGGTTGCTTCGTGTAGATCTCCATATGTAACCCTTAAGCTTTCATCTTGCAACGATGGTGAAGAAGGTAACCTTTTCCGCTTTCCAGTGAGAGAATGGACCGCTAGAAAAGCTATAAAAGAGATAGAAATTCCACCAATTACACTGATGATGATGATGATAAGTTTCTTTTTTAGAGATCTCTTGTGTTTCTTTGAAGGGGCTCTAAAGCATGCATGAAGCTTCAATTGAGGTATCCCCCCACAGAGGTTATTGTTTCCTGATACTGAAATTTGTGAGGCATTACTAAAGACACCCCCAGTGGGAACCTCTCCATAGAGATTGTTGAAAGACAAGTCTAGAAAATCCAAAAGTGTTAGATTTTCTAGTTTAAAGGGGATTGTTCCTGAGAAATTATTTCTAGAAAGGTCTAACGTGTCGAGGGAGCGTATAGAGGAGCCCAAGAACAAAGGTATATTTCCATGGAAGAAATTCTCCCTCAAAACTAACTTTGTTAATGACAAACAGCCACCAAGTTCATTTGGAATTTCACCAGATAACTTAGTTGAGTGAAGAAACAATTGGGAAAGTTGCTCTAAATTACCAAAGTCTGACGGAATAGAACCAGTGAAGCTATTGTTGGACAAGACAAGTAATACTAAACCTCTTAGATAACCAAAAACCCTCGAAGATTGGGAAAAGCAAGATTCAGATTTGATGGAAGACTACCAAATAACTTGTTATCCACAAGAATAAATGATTGAATATTTGATAGATTGTAAAGAGAATGAGGAATTTCACCTGACAAATTATTTAAATCTAGAGTCAACATTTTCAAACCTGACAACTTACCCAAAGCATGGGGTATGTTTCCGGCCAAGTGATTCGATGAAAGTGATAGACCCGAGAGTGATGAAATATTTCCCAAGGAAGGTGGAATAGTGCCAACTAGATTATTGAAACCAAGGTTCAACGAAGTAAGTTGCATCGATCCAAACCATGAAGGGACTCTTCCAATGAGTTGATTGTGATACAATTCAATTACTCGTAGATTTGTGCAGTTTGAGAGCTCTATAGGAATTTCTCCTTCAAGCTTGTTGTTGCTTAAGATAAGATCTTGCAATCGCTTCAAACGACCAATTTGAGCTGGAATTTCACCGTGCAACGCCAGGTTTCTAAGCATCAGTATTTTCAAAAATGTTAGATTTCCCAAGGATGGACCAAGAATACCACCCCATGTTTGATTCGCCAACTGCAAGCTAGAGACTCTCATGTGACGACGGCCACATGTAACCCCCTGCCATTCACAGAAATGTAGAGACTCATTCCATGATGGGAGAGATTCGGGAACACCATTTGTAAGTTTTTCTTTCAAAGCAAGCAAAGCAAGCTTATCAGTCTCTGAACTCAAAGAAAGAGCAGCAACTGTTGATGGCATGAGATAATACACCGACATTTGGCTAACAAAGCAAAGAAAAAACGTAAAAATAATAGTCCCCATGTTGCTATTATTAATGTAGAATCTGTATTTTTTGTTAAGTGCTTATTACCAGAAGTAGTTTAGATATGCAACTTTCAGCTATGATTAACCTTTTAAATATGATTAGATATATAAAGCGAACCATTTGCAACTTGGGGAACCATTTGGATGATGCCATACGCTACTGAAAAGTCGTCATGTTAACATAACCACACATTTATAGCCCAATCTGCAAGTTGTTTGAACTATAGCATAATGTCGGGTTGACAAACTTGGAATGAAAGACTTGAGTTAAGAAGTAAGCTAGATTAAAATCCACACATAGATTAGGTATTTAAATAGTATTAGATTTGATAGAGTTTTGTTTTTTTAATATAATTTTTTTTTGTTATTGATACAATTGGACGAAGAGAATTTAAAAAAATACAATTTTAAGTAAAAAAGAAATACGTAAAAGTTATATAATACAAAATAAAATATTAGAATTAAAATTAAAATTGTAAAATAAGTTTATAAAATTTTGTCCGTTGAATACATTCTAAATTCAAACAATTCGAACATCATATAAATAATCATCATTGCCAATATTAAAATTCTAAATTAAACTCTCATATTTTAAGATGGTTTAGTAGTTATATAGAAGATATCAAGTATGCAAGACTTTAAAAATTAATTACAATGGTATTGTTTTTGTGTGTATTTGATTATCTCATTTATTTTCGACATATATACAAATGATTTAATGCATTTGATTTTTTTTTATAATGTTAATTAACTATTATTTATTAATATATTGTAAAAAATTTAAATGTAATGGATTATATATATTGTAGTTGAAAAAGGATTGTTTAATTTTATATTTTAAAATTAATTTTGTAACATGTAATTGTAAGCCGTAAACACAATTAAAAATTATATTTTCGAAAAACTATGAAGCAATAGTATGTCTATTATAAAGTTATAAGTAAATTTAAAAACATTGCATGACTGTTTTATTTTAAACACTGTAATAAGATTTTTGTTACTATACCAGATGATGTTTCAGACGAAATGGTGGTGGGAGACGCAATAGGAGCGTGTGTTGCATGGCCGACAAATCTCATTTTCATAGATGATGAGGTAGGTTGAACACCATTATGAACCTTGTAATATTCAAATGTTTTATGACCCATACATGAAAGTTATTCTTACATTTATATTTTCTTATTTTCATGATGATCTTAGACTCCTATAAAATCCAAATCAAAAGATAAGGGAATTATTGTGCGGGAAACCGATTCAGCTGCATCAAAGAAACAGGCACTACTACAGTTACATGATTATCTTATTATACATTAATTACTAAACTTATATGACTTTTAGGTTCATGATGAACAGTTGCAACAAGTCAGCAAGGGTAAGATGCCTGAATCTTCCAAGGTGCCAACAAAAAAAAGGTCGAGCCAAAAAAAGCATTTGTTCCTCAATTTAAGTTGTGCCTTGAAACATATGTAGGAACAACAGATGTGGCTGAGGGTGGCATCCGTCAAATACCTATGGAGGAAGGTATTTTCGGTTTTGAATATACCGAAACAATTGCTAAGGAGGATTTGGACCAGATTTTCCAACATTCTGAATTGGGCATCGGTGTTATGCATTCCTGTTGCACCCCAAAATTTGACCAACATTTATTTACCCATCAAGAGTTATATGAGGCTTTTAAGCTAGCCAAGAGAGTTGTTCAAGTGTTCAAAGGTTGATATCTTTGCCAGAGAACTCAAGAGATCCTTAGAGGAATTGGTTGAAACCAAAGTTGTGTGCCTCATAACTTGAGAGTTGTGGGAGCTCCTCAGATGATTCTGAGACTATGAGAGTGGACTTGAAGCTTTAAGAAATCTTATGAGATGTCTTGAAAGCCATCATGAAGTCTAGAGAGGTCATTGTACAAGAATTCAGAAGATTCAGCCATGAGTGGTAGAATTAGGGTTTGACTGGGTCAACCCTAGGTCAACTGATGATTTGGAGAGGGTTGAAACCTAATCCAAGAGCCATGTGATCATGGAATGACGCATTGAGATGCTATAAGGATGATTCCTAGACCAACTCATCATGATTGAGGAGTTTGATAAGTTTCAAGCTAGGGTTTCTAAGGATTGACAGTGTAAAATCCCCTAGTTTTATCCCTATCTTTAAGGCAGTTTAGCTCAAGATGTGATTGTCATCTCATCTTCCCCACAACATGAATGTTGTAGAGTTTGTTCTTAGATTTAGTTTGAGTACTAGAAGTCCTTGATAGGATTTGTAGAGCTCAAGTTATGACTTTGACAAATTACAGGTCATCTGAGGTATGTGAATCTGGGTCCTTGAAAGTCACCCAACTTGCAGACAACTTTTTCCCTAGTAGGATGATTCCTATGAGTTCTTGGTCAACATGAATGTTGAAGAGCATCTTCTTAGCTTTCTAGAGAGTACTAGAAGTCCTTGATAGGATTTGTAGAACTTAACTTATGGCTTTGACAAGTCAAGGGCATTTTGGTCATTTGGAAGTTATAGGTCATTTCAAGCATAAAGCCATATCTCCTACTTCCAAGCTTCAAATGGAAAAATCTTCAACATCAAACTTGATTAGAATGATGTTTTAAGGCTAGTAGGGAGGTCATGAGATGTTGAAAAGGCTCATATCAAAAAGTGATAAAAATGGCCTAAAAATGAGGCATAAGTTAATTAAGATGAAATTGAAAAATGGAAATCCCAAGTTATAAGTCCAAACCATGTCATATAATAGGTCATTTTGACTCCAAATGACATTCTAAGAACAATGGTTCAGCCACAATTTTGATTTGAGGCTTGGATCATAGGGTTGCTTTGGAATTGGCTTACTTGTACATTAAGACATCAAGGCAAAACTCAAAAGAACTCAATGTACACATTGGTTAAGCATGGTAACTCATCTTAAATCTCATGTGGGGATAAATTAAAGTCAGAATTGAAGTGTACAAGGAGCTTGGCATGAGATAGCATGTAAGGAGAATGAGAAATCAAAATACCATGACATGAAAAGTTCAATTTCTCATTGGATGATCCTAGAGGGTTCTAGATGATTCTAAACCACTCTATAAGATGATTGTAACTTGCTCAGATGCAAGGTTGGTGTGAATTGGTGTAGAGAAGAGAGAGTGAGATCCAAAATCTTCCATTGCAAGTCAAGTGTCAATTCCTCATTCTTCTTCATTCCCTTTCATTTTTTTTCACACAAACACATTCCATACATCACATTGAAGATGTGCAGATTGAATTGAGAGCATTTCCATGGAGAATTGAAGAGTTGGTGATTGAGATTTCAAGGAAGCAATTCAAAATCGAATTTCAAGAATCAAGCAATTTCAGCCATTCTTTTTGCATACAGAAGCTAGAAGATTACTCAGTGAAGGAATTTGGAAAGATTCAAGGCTTGAATTGGTGGATTACTACCTCTGTTCACTCACTTTCACCAGGTTTGCAATTTCTTTCCTACACCTTAATTTTGGCATGGTTAGGTTGAATTATTAGTGTAGAATGGTTAGAGACCAATAGGTGATGAATTTTGGAGAGTTTGAAGGCAATTGGTGATGGTTTTGTTATGGACAAGATTTCTGTTTGGATCAAGAACTCCCTGAATTTTGAGTGATAACCTTAGTTCTTTAGTGGAATTTGATCAGTGATAAGAGGTGAGCATTTTAGTGTAAGTAATTCCAAGAATGGTGAGTTTTGATCTCTGAGCATAATTTGGGGTTTGATTCGTGTTTGGAGTTTGAGTGAGATTCAATGGATTTCAAGGGTACGATCGTGTTCAGCATGGAATTCTAGGCATGTTAGGGTTTTAAACTTTGAGAATTGATGAAGTTTTGAGGGAATTCGAGTTGAGGAAGATGAAGCTCGTGGTGCTGAGTTTCCATGGTGGTTTCAGAAAACCCTAGGTTCAAGGTTGATGATGATGTCCCAGCCGTGAGATGCAAGCGCTGACTCTTGACTTTGGCCAGATCCAACGCACGAGATTCAATTGGATTTTGGAGGGAACCCTGAGCTGGCGTGAAACGCCGCGTTTCATTAAAAGAGGAATTCTGGGCTTAGTGAACTTGTGCTATCCACACACCCAGTCAAGGCCCATTGGTTTTTTTAACTGAAATCCATTGCTTTTTGCACCGTATCTTTTTCATTTTCTTAATGTTTTTTAATTGTTTTTTCTGATGAAATGGGCCCAGCGCGCTTGCTGTTTAAACCCCCCATTCTGGGCCCATGTGTGAATTGCATTGCATATGATTGCTTCCTGCACCCCATTCTCATGTTTGCATTTTTATTTTTCTCCATTTTATTTTTGATCTTTGGAAAATCATATTAAATTGAAAAATAAAGATTTTTTAATGGGAGTTTTTTCTCCTACTTCATAATTTTGTCAAGAAAAACATAAAATAAAAATATTTTCCATATCATGCATTTTAGTATTTTTTGCATATTTTTCATTTTAATTGCTTTTTAATTCTTTTATATTGATGTATGAATTTGTAGAATTTAGTTTAGGTAGTTCCCTTAGTATTTTTAGGTCATTCCTTTTAGGATAGTTAGATATATGTTTTAGCTCCCCCCTGGATTTATTCCATAATTTTGTGATGAATTTTAGGATAGTTTTGATTAGATGATTCTAGGTTGTGTAGAATTAGGTTAAACTTCAACATAGGTCCATAACAACTTTAGATTTTGGGTTTTTAGGACAATTTAGACTATGGGACATATAGGGCATTAAGGGTAGGTATGTAGGATCCCTTAGAAATTATATTAGGATTTAATATAGTAGTATGCTATTTTTAGATGATTTTTGTATTGGTTGGTTGTTTGTGTTGCCTTTAGGGCATTTTTGCTTTAGTTGCTTTGCTTTGGAGCTTTCCCTTGGCTTGGTGGGCTTGGTATCTCTTTGTGTAGCATTGAGGAGCATAGTAGAAGACTTGAAGATGCATTGAGGAGCTTGAGAGCTTGATCTTATTTTTCTTTTTTGTTGTTTTAGGGTT